GTTGGCAAAGCTTTTTCCAACATCAAGTAGGCGGAGTTCCAAAGGATAGGTATGTCTGTACATAACTTCAAAGGTCGAACCGGTGGGTCCTCTTGCTTACAATATTTGACGTACTCTTGCCATCTTTTATTATTACCGCCGACGATAAATCCGATAGCCGCGCGCATTCTTTCCATCTTCAAATGTATAGCATCTAAATCTACTTTAACTATCAAATTGATGATGTGGCAAGCACATCTCTGGTGAAAAAAATTGTCTTCACCACACGGATCCAATCTCTTTTCAAATAAAGAGATTGTCGCGGTGTTAGCAGTTGCATTATCAAGCGTTACCGTTACAACTCTATCGGTTAATAAGTATTCTTGCAAAACTTCAAGAATTGTAAAATAAATAGTTTCAGCACAATNCCGTTAGACCTGCACACATGAAAGGGCAAGCGTGAAGCTTCCGGAAAACACTAGGGTGGTGTTTGCCGTAGGCACTCCAACGCTCAAGTCACCAAGGCTGAAAGAGATTATTTGATAAGAATTAAGGAGATGAAAATTACCAAGAGTCTTGTCGGAAGCTAGGACTATGGTGGAGGCGTCGGGTTCTTGGGAGCAAGAACTTTAGGAGCAAATAGATGGTTTTGAGTAGTGTAGATTGACTATAGAAGATTGCATGCATAATGAGAGGGCAAGCCTTTGTTTTTATAGTGAACCCAAGGGGTTGGAATTTTAGTAGGACATTGAGTCCTCTTTTTTGGGAGATAATCCCTATCAAGAAAGAAATATGATTTATTGACCTTATCAGATTAAGTTTAATAGTTTAAGTAAGATTTGGAATCTTAGTAGGACACTAGAGCTGGTCAAGGACCAGTCCCAAGCAGGCCTGGGCCTGGACCCATTTGGGATTGGTCCCATCGCTCATAGGCATGGGACCAGTCCCAAGCCCATGAGTAATATGAGGACCCGAACCGGTCCTATGGGCTTGAATAATTTCTTTTCCCCCCTGATTTTTTTTTTTATATTTTGGGGGCGAAATAAAATTTTATAGGGGGTTTTTAATATTTTTCAAGGGTAGATTAGTAAGTTTTTAAAATTTTAATTAATTTAAAAAAAATAATAAATAAATTAATAGTTAATTTTAATTTTTAACATAAATTCACATTTCACACATTCACACTTCACAAATAAACAATTAAATAATTAAATAATTTTTTTAATTAAATTATTTATTTTCATCGTCAACAATATTTACATCATTCAAATATGTATTCCTAAAGAGTTCAAGTTGTTCGGGGATCTTTAGGGTACTGTTGTAGTGTTCTTTCTGTATGAGTCCAATCCCGTAAACACGTTATCACTTCAATCATCTCATCAGTTAAAAACCATCTTCTGTCTTCAACAATCCGACCACTCGTTGAAAATGTTGACTCGGATGCAATTATAGAAACCGGCACAGATAAAATGTCACGTGCCATTTGGGCTACAATGAGAAATCGACTTTCATGTTGGTTCCACCATTGAAGAATATTCATATCATGTTGGTTCCACCATTTAAGAATATCCATATCATGTTGCTCCTTCATTGTCATAAAGGACAGGTCCACTTGTAGGTAGCGATTCAGCTCATTTGGTCCATGTATGTACGAGCTGGAGCTGCTACTTCTGCCACGTTCCACATACGTCCACTTGCTCGATCCTTGACGGAGGGCTGCATTAAGATTCTGATCCTCTCTCCTGAACATTCCACTTCCACTTCCACTTCCATTGTACCTGTTCTTATATAAAGAAAAAATGTTATCCAACTTTTGTTTAAAGTTATTCAAATAAGACGTATAATCATGTCCTAAATGCTGGCCTAACTCAGTAATAATACAATTAACTACGTATAATTTAAACCTAGGATCTAGAACAAGGCCTAATCCATATAAGAATGGAATATCTAACCAATATCTCTCATATTTTTCTTCAATCTTTAAAACAATTTCCCTTAAAATGTTATTATATCTATGTTTAGCAAAAGTTTTAGCAATTTGAAGTAAAATATCTAACACTAAATTAGTAGTCGGATAATAAATACCACTTATTGTATTAGTAGCATCATAACAAATTTGAAGAAATGAATAAAAAAGTTCACAAACCGCCCAGTCATCCTATCTGACAACTTCCTGTGGATAGTGCTTCCGGTTGACGAAATCTGTAATTTGTTTCGTGGTTGGCAAAGCTTTTTCCAACATCAAGTAGGTGGAGTTCCAAAGGATAGGTATGTCTGTACATAACTTCAAAGGTCGAACCGGTGGGTCCTCTTGCTTACAATATTTGACGTACTCTTGCCTACAATATTTGACGTCCTCTTGCCATCTTTTATTATTATCGCCGATGATAAATCCGATAGCCGCGCACACCCTCTCCATCTTCAAATGTATAGCATCTAAATCAACTTTAACTATCAAATTGATGATGTGGCAAGCACATCTCTGGTGAAAAAAATTGTCTTCACCACACGGATCCAATCTCTTTTCAAATAAAGAGATTGTCGCGGTGTTCTGATGTAAGTGCAATAGATATATTCCTAAAATTTTGAAATTCGTTTTTAAGTTTATTATTTATTTTGTTATAAAGTTTTAGTATATCTCTTCTACTTATACTTCTACTAACAGGGGTATATGCTGGACAAAATGCAGTTTTAATCATAAGAATAAAATAAGGATTTTCAGATAAACAAATGGGAGAGTCTGTAGCAACTATGTATCTTGCTATTTCCTCTCGTGTAACATGTGCATTGTATTGCTATGTTGAGAGAGTTGAGGATTAAAATTAAGTTGAGTTTGAATTTGTCTACCTAATCCGCTTGAAGATGTATCGGGCAACTATATTATTTGGGGGTGCTTCTTCTCCACGTGTCGTCGCATCGTCAAAGTCTGCTTCTCAGCACCAATAATGGTTCCATAGAAATTACATATCCCACACGATTCTTCCCCCTCCCCATTTGTCTTTGGCCGTTTTGATTTGATGACGTATCGTCATACATCGGACACGACCCTCTTAGATGGTCCCGGGGGGGGGGGGGGGTTGGTTGGACTATGCCTGCCCGTTGACTTGCAGCTCGCATGTGTTTGGCTACACCTCGTCCCAACTGAATGTGGTTGTGGAATTGCAGCTATACCTCTAGGAAATGGTGAAAATGGATTGAACCCTTCATTTCTTCGGTGGATGGAATGTAAAACTCATTTGGGGATGATCCTCCCGAATGCATCATTTCGGGAATCCATTATGAATTTATGATAAATAATAAATAATTAAAAAGAAATAAATTAAATAATATATGAAGAAGAGATGATATTGAAAAAAAAAATTGAATTATAAATAAATAAATAAATAATATGAATAAATTATAATTAAATTGAATGAAATTTGATTGGAGATTTGAGTAAAGAGATTGAGAGAATGTGAGATTGAGTGGTGTGGAAAAAATGAAAGATTTTAGGTTATTTATAGTGTATTGTGGGGGTGGGGGAAATGAAACCCCCCCACCCCCCCCCCCCCCCCCCCCCGCCCCCCCCCCCAAAATGACCGTTGGTTGGCAACCAACGGTTAAAATTAAAGTAAAAAAGATAATTTATTTTTTTATATATTTTATAAAATTTCATTTTAACCCTTACAATTTATGTTTATTTCAAAATTTATAGGGGACTTTACGTAATTTTACAAAGGACTAAAATGAAAAAAAGTAAAAAAATTTGGGCCCAGGCCCGGGCCTTGGAAGAGGGCCCAGTGGAGAGACTGGGCCCTCCTCCTTAGGCCTGGTCTCGTTTTGGGACTAGTCATAAGACCGGGTTTTTGGGCTAGGTTTTTGGACCCAGTCCCAAATGCCCACCTCTATAGGACACTAAGCCCTATTTTGAGAGATAATCCTTATCATAAAAGAGATATGATTTCTTGACTTTATCAGATTAAGTTTAATAGTTTGAGTAAGATTTGAAATTTTAGTAGAAGAGGAAATAGAATGAGATTTTGATTTTCTATTTATGGACTGTTGCAGGCTAATTGGCTAAAACCTAGTTTTGCTTAACTTATAGGATAGCCCAACTCATAGAATGAGTAGTTCACAAGGTGATTTTAAGCCTAGGCCCAATCGGAATTGGGTTGAGGCCTTGGGCCATGACATGTTTATTTCGTTATTGGGCCTCGTCAAGCCTAAGACGATTTTTGGCCCTAACAGTTAGCCCCCCACTCTCTAAGTTAAAGAGTATTTAGCTTAGAGTGTAGATTTAATCGAATAAGTGCAGACTGAGCAGATTAGTGATAGTAGCTCGTTAGGTCGGATGGACTGTTGTGTGGATTGGGTTGATGATTTGTCAATTGGAGGTGTAAACTTATGAATCGATCTAGGCCGATCGAAGGCGTAAACTTATGAATCGGTCTGGGCCGATCGAAGACGTAAACTTATAAATTAGTCTGGGCCGATCGAAGACGTAAACTTATAAATCAGTCTGGGCCGATCGAAGGCATAAACTTATGAATCGGTCTGGGTCGATTGAAGGTGTAAACTTTAAATCGGTCTAGGCTGATTGAAGGTGTAAATCAATAAATCGATTTGGGCCGATTGAAGGTGTAAATTCATAAATCGGTCTAGGTCGATTGAAGGTGTAAACTGTAAATCGGTTTGGGCCGATTGAAGGTGTAAATCAATAAATCGGTATGGGCCGATTGAAGGTGTATGCCAAGTGGAGCTTGTATGGAGCTTGCGATCGAGTCGGTGTGACCGACTTGTAGTTGAAACCTTTGAGGGCTATGTGGCCTAGTCGGCGTGATCGACTTTGTAGTTGAAAACATTTGATTGAAGCTGGAAAAGATGTTTTGTTGAATTATATACTGGGTTGATTAAGTGGTAATCTTATTCAAATTAGACGCATTTATCATTTCTACAAGTTTATTCTTGTACTTTGATCAACAGCTTTGGAATGACCTCTTATTTTTCTTCAATTAAGATTTACTTGCTCTTATATACTTTTCCTTTTTCAGCTTATCATAAGCTTGCTAGTAGTTATCACCCGGATGTGAACAAGTAAGTTCCCTAATTTCTCTAATCTGTTTTTTTTTTCCTGGTTACAACACTAGTAGTCTGAGCTTGCTCAGTCTGTTTTGTTACTTACATCGTCTTTATAAATTTTAGACCCATCTAATTAATGTTGCTCTTTTGTAGTTTTTTTAATTTCTATGCAGAGAACCCGGTGCAGAACAGAAATTCAAGGAAATAAGCAACGCATATGAGGTAGAAAGTTCAATCATGTGGTTATTTTAGTTTGTTATTTGCGGTTGAGCCAGGGTTAATTCTCTGAACTGTTTTGATTTTTCAAATGATGAAGTTGTTCTGTANGCAACCAACGGTTAAAATTAAAGTAAAAAAGATAATTTATTTTTTTATATATTTTATAAAATTTCATTTTAACCCTTACAATTTATGTTTATTCCAAAATTTATAGGGGACTTTACGTAATTTTACAAAAGACTAAAATGAAAAAAAGTAAAAAAATTTGGGCCCAGGCCCGGGCCTTGGAAGAGGGCCCAGTGGAGAGACTGGGCCCTCCTCCTTAGGACTGGTCCCAAAATAGTCCCGTTTTGGGACCAGTCCTAGGACCGGGTTTTTGGTACCAGTCCTAGGACCGGGTTTTTGGGCTAGGTTTTTGGACCCAGTCCCAAATGCCTACCTCTATAGGACACTAAGCCCTATTTTGAGAGATAATTCTTATCATGAAAGAGATATGATTTCTTGACTTTATCATATTAAGTTTAATAGTTTAAGTAAGATTTGAAATTTTAGTAGAAGAGAAAATAGAATGAGATTTTGATTTTCTATTTAAGGACTGTTGCAGGCTAATGGGCTAAAACCCAGTTTTGCTTAACTTATAGGATAGCCCAACTCATAGAATGGGTAGTTCATAAGGTGATTTTAAGCCTAGGCCCAATCGGAATTGGGTTGAGGCCTTGGGCCATGACATTTTTATTTCGTTATTGGGCCTCGTCAAGCCTAAGACAATTTTTGGCCCTAACAGTTAGCCCCCCACTCTCTAAGTTAAAGAGTATTTAGCTTAGAGTGTAGATTTAATCGAATGAGTGCAGACTGAGCAGATTAGTGATAGTAGCTCGTTAGGTCGGATGGACTGTTGTGTGGATTGGGTCGATGATTTGTCAATTGGAGGTGTAAACTTATGAATCGATCTAGGCCGATCGAAGGCGTAAACTTATGAATCGGTCTGGGCCGATCGAAGATGTAAACTTATGAATCAGTCTGGGCCGATCGAAGGCATAAACTTATGAATCGGTCTGGGTCGATCGAAGGTGTAAACTTTAAATTGGTCTAGGCTGATTGAAGGTGTAAATCAATAAATCGATTTGGGCCAATTGAAGGTGTAAATTCATAAATCGGTCTGGGTCGATTGAAGGTGTAAACTGTAAATCGGTTTGGACCGATTGAAGGTGTAAATCAATAAATTGGTATGGGCCGATTGAAGGTGTATGCCAAGTGGAGCTTGTATGGAGCTTGCGGTTGAGTCGGTGTGACCGACTTGTAGTTGAAACCTTTGAGGGCTATGTGGCCTAGTCGGCGTGATCGACTTTGTAGTTGAAAACATTTAATTGAAGTTGGAAAAGATGTTCTGTTGAATTATATACTGGGTTGATTAAGTGGTAATCTTATTCAAATTAGACGCATTTATCATTTCTACAAGTTTATTCCTGTACTTTAATCAACAACTTTGGAATGACCTCTTATTTTTCTTCAATTAATATTTACTTGCTCTTATATACTTTTCCTTTTTCAGCTTATCATAAGCTTGCTAGTAGTTATCGCCTGGATGTGAACAAGTAAGTTCCCTACATTTCTCTAATCTGTTTTTTTTTTCCTGGTTACAACACTAGTAGTCTGAGCTTGCTCAGTTTGTTTTGCTACTTACATCGTCTTTATAAATTTTAGACCCATCTAAATAATGTTGCTCTTTTGTAGTTTTTTTAATTTCTATGCAGAGAACCTGGTGCAGAATAGAAATTCAAGGAAATAAGCAACGCATATGAGGTAGAAAGTTCAATCATGTGGTTATTTTAGTTTGTTATTTGTGGTTGAGCCAGGGTTAATTCTCTGAACTGTTTTGATTTTTCAAATGATGAAGTTGTTCTGTATTGTAAAGGTCTCGTCAGAGGATGAATATTACAGCCTTGTCATAAATTTTAAGGAAGCAGTTTTTGGAGTTGAAAAAGAGATCGAGGTAACACGCCTTGGGAGTTGTGGGACTTGTGATGGTTCAGGTGAGAAAGCAGGGCCAAAGCCATATAAATGTACTACCTGTGGTGGGCAAGGGCAAGTTGTCTCATCAACAAGGACTCCTTTAGGTGTCTTCCAGCAGGTAATGACCAGCTCTTGGGGAAGTGTTTACTCTATGCAACACATGTTCTAGGGATGGACGTGTGAGGAGAACAAAATGGATCAGTCTAAAAGTTCCAGTTGGTGTGGACACTGTTAGCCTTTTAAGGGTGCGCGGCGAAGAAAATGTTGGAAGAAGAGGTGGATCTCCTGGTGATCTATTTGTCATTATTGATGTTACCCTAGACCCTGTACTAAAACGTGATGACACCAACATTTTGTACACCTACAAAGTTGAAAATAATAAAAAGAAGATAAAACCAAATCGTCGTCCTTCTTTGTTGAAAAACCCAAGCGACGGCACGATTCTCCTACCGCATTAAATGCGCCCCAATCTGCATTTAATGCTCTAATAGGGGATATCGTTTTGGCATGTCATACATTTAATGCGCATGACTGGCATTAATTGCGCACAGGACACGTCTGTCAGAGCAGAAGGCGTTTCATTAAATGCATCCATTATGAAAATGCAACAGGTAACACCTGAAGAGATCGTTACGTAGAGCACTCTTCGTCTGACCAGTCACGAAGCAACGTGACTCCTCGATTCTACCCCATTGGTCATGAAACGACGTGACTCTCGACGAGTATTAAGTTCCGAAACAGTCCAATCCCTTGTCCAAGGGAGAATTCCAAGAATAATTAAGTCGTGAACTTCGGAAAACCGAAATCAAAGCACCGGAATGGTCTAAAATCAGGTCGTTCATCCTTAAGCGAAGATCGTATCGGTCGCGTGCACAAAAGCGCAGTCTCGACCTCTTTTCAAACAGGTTGGAATCACAAGAATTTCCTCGAAGGCATCTTGTCACGGCATGAATTATAGTTTCCAAGGTCCGATTCTCGCATTTTCAAAACTAGGGGACTTCTGTTATGCCTGAAAAAGTAGGGTTGACGCAAGACCCAGTCAGCATGAAAAGTCAGAGCTTAGGTATGTCCACAGCCATTCAAAGGCAGCCACGTCACACAATGACAGGGGCGGCATGCTCTTGTCAGGGCAGTGGGTGCGCGTCAGATCAGCCAGGAGCTAGAGTGATTCCACGTGTCTAATCACTGCACCAAATCGCATAAATCGCTTTAGAAGGTGGGCAATGAGACATAAAGAAGGATTTGTACGGATAATCCCACTAACTCACAGATTTAGTAATCATAACCTTAATCCATCCCACTATAAATTGAGAGCTCCTCTCTCATTTAAGGGATTAGCTAATTTCTCTAAAGAAAAAATAGCATTCTCTCTCTTGTATAATCATTTGTAAGTCAGTTCGCTGAACGTGACCTGACCACTATCATTAATACAAAATCAGTGGACGTAGGATTTGCTTCCTTAGCATCTGAATCACTTTAAACGCTGTTCTCCATTGTTTTTGCTCTCACTCTTTTATCCACGTGTGTCTTCTGGACCAATTCAATATTTCACACGTGTATTTGGTTGGTGTCAAAATCACTCATCAACAATAAATATTTTTGGTTTCACACTTTTAGAGAGCTTATTAATTAAGTTATCATCATCGTGAGTTGACAAGGTTTTATTATCGGTATACCAGAAAAAACGGGTCATATGTACAAATATAAATAGGGTACGGGTCCACTCTTAAAGACCCATGAAAATTGGACCTTTACGGCTTTACCTATTCCAATCCTTTTTTATGGGTGCGCCGGGTATACCTTTGGTTATAATTGTTCATTCCTCCGAAATCCTTCATCTCACTCCTCCTTATGAACACTATTCTTTTTCTTCTCTCTTTCTAATATGGCAGTAGAACACTTATCAGACCTCTGCGAATCTCTGTTCGACCACAGCCTTTCGCCTCTCGATCTCTTGCACTGTCTCCGCTCAGATGATTCCGTCAATCTCGGCCTCAAAAGCTTCCTCGCAATACTCCAACACAGTGTTCAGTCGATCGGAGATGACTCCGATAGGTTAGGGTTTTCAATGTTGGGGCAATGAACAGATTCAGTTCGTTGTTTCCATCAGTCACTTGATCCCCTTTTCTTCTCGATCTCTTTGGTTAGTTTTTGCTGTTGATTCTTTATTTTGTTTTTGTGTTTTGTTTGTTGTTCGACTTTGGAAATGCTTTAATTTGAAGTTTGTGTTTTTTTTTCTCTCTTCGTTTAAATTTTGTTGTGGCGTGGGATTTGATTGGCTTATTTTAAAAATATAAGGTCTCTTGACTTAAAGATGGTGACAAATGCACTCATTTCTTTCATGCCCATGCTAAAGTGACGTATGCTAGGTCCAAAATGCACAGCTTAGATATGGATGGAGTCACTGTTTTAAATGAGGTTATTATTAGTGAGTATATTGTTGATTTTTATAAGAAGCTTTATAATTCTCCTATTGTATTGGCATGGTTTTCGAAAATGTTCAGCTTGTAGGGAAGAAGGTCAGAGGCAACAACATTGGTCTCAAATTTGACATTACTAAAGCTTTTAATATTGTATGCTGGGATTTTGTTCTTTGTGTTCTAGCAGCCTGTGGGTTTGATCCAATCTATATCTAATGAATACAGAGTTATTAAGAGTGATAAGCAAAATTATGCTTTTGATAAGGTCTTATAAAAGGGTAATAGCCGTAGCCAAATACTCTCAGCATTTTATAATCTGCTGTGTATTTTTTTAATTTGTCCTCTTTGTGTGTATTTTTTTAATTCATTTTATATAAGCTACAACACATTGTTTCTGAAGAGGAAAAGCTACAGTAACTAACCCAAGTCAACATTTTCATTAATCTGACATGGACTTCTTAATTGACTGAACTAACTTCTTAAAAACAGAAACTTAGTTTTCTTAAATATTGGAATTTTAATATTTAAGAAAACGTTTATGTGAAAAAGTTTGAATAGATAATTTAGTGGTATGGTATTACTCTTAAATATTGGCATTTTAATATTTGTATGATTAGTTGGTTAAACTGCGAAGTGATTCACTCAAGTAAATGTCATTGGTTCACTTCTCTAATCCAAAAGAATAAGAGAGGAGCACGATTTGTTGTTAGAGTTGTTGCGGTGAGTATAGGAATAAGCTTTAGCTTTCTTTTGGGATGATGGAATCTCTATTTTTTATTAGTTAGTTTATACTTTTTGTGGGTCTTTAGATGTATGTTTGATATACTTTGTAATGCAATTGATATGCTGTTTAACTGTTCCATTACATAGCTAATGACTAATATTGTCTCACATGCAGGACTACTGTTCTGTCCTAGGGGTGTCAAAAAATGCCAGTAAATCTGAAATAAAAGTGGTATGTAGATTTTCTTTTTCTTTTCTTTTCTATTTTGTCCAAATTGTTCTATTACACATTTTCTCAATGTTTGTTTTTTTTTGTTTTTTAACTGTGTATATGATAAGACTTTTATTTCACATTATCCTTATGCTCTTTCAAGTCCATGGTAATAGAGAATTTGTTTTGTGTTTGTGGCAGAATTAACATTAATTTGTTTTCCTTTTATTGTTGCTTTTAAAAGGAAGCAGTTTCATAACTTGAAAAAAATGAGCATTAGGTTATTGTGCTAGAATACGACTTTTCTTTTCTGGGTCTTTGGGTGGGTGATTGGAGGAAATATTATGGTGGGATTTGTTTCGCTCCCGTCCTTAAGTACTTGATCTATGTAAAATAACAGATCTATTTGCTTCTGGGTACAGTGGCCTCTGATGATATATCCAGCTAGGTGGAAACTTGAATTATCCAAAATTAATGAAGAAGAAACATTTGTTTCCTTATTCACAGACCGTACCCCCACTCCATCCTTGCATAAACACTAGTTAAACTTGTGGGTTAGTGTGAGAATTGTAAGAGATCTAAATCAACTAGGCTATTGATAAAGAAGAGACTCGGTGATACAGAACCAGAAAAAAGAAATAGAAGAGATAGAGAGAATAAGAAGGATAGATTATGGATAACAACTTGAAAGAGGAGAAATCCAGAATAACGATCTATATGGAGAAACTAATAATCTTATTTATTCATCAACCATGCATGTCAATGTTAGACGCCTTTATTCATAGGCTTAAGAAACCAAATCCTACTCACAACACTATGTAATAATTCTAATCCTAACAAAACATGGAAATAAAAGTTGAATTTAATTAAGACAACTCAATTCTAAAATATTGAGAAACAAGGACTAAATAGCCCTTTGATCCTTCCCATATGCCCTATTTTACTTTATAAGATGATTGTGCTGCCTTGTTGGAGAAATCCTCTCATTGAAGTTTGGAAAAGATGTTCTGTTGAATTATATACATACTGGGTTGATTAAGTGGTAATCTTATTCAAATTAGACGCATTTATCATTTCTACAAGTTTATTCCTGTACTTTAATCAGCAGCCTTGGAATGGCCTCTTATTTTTCTACAATTAATATTTACTTGCTCTTATATACTTTTCCTTTTTCAGCTTATCAGAAGCTTGCTATTANGGCATGAAATTCTCAATCCAACATCAGAGAAGAAAAAAAAAAAAAACAAAGCAAAAAAAAAAAATCCAAAAATCAATAAATCCAAAATTCAAAAAAAAAAAAAAAAAAAAAAAAAAAATTAGATTTGTGAGTAGAAAAGTCCAAAAAAATCTCAATTCTAGAGCAAATTTGTCACCATATGTTTGCTCCATCAAACATTGCCTGAAAAAGACACTCCACATGCAAGTCCTTATATGAACTTGTGCAGGAAACAAAGTCTGCATTAAAATTAGATTTGTATGATGCTGTTAGCCCATCAATTAATCTGTCTAGTACAAATTAGATATGCAAACCATCCTGACAGATAACTACCAAATAAATAATGAAGAATCATCTACATCACCAACTGGTGAGATCATAAGACCATTGGTGAATGAAGGCCAACAATGCTAAACTATTTAACAAAGTATATGAACTCAG